GACCCCAGGTTAAGCATGGTAGCGACCATGATGAATTGACATGCGATGTTCTCTCGTTCAACTTTACGTGCATAAACCGAGGGTAGATATATTCAAATCGTGCCGACCCCGCCAGTAATGACGAGTGCTATATATCGGAAATGTCAAAATCCTGCGCCGCCAAACGGGTCTCTAGAACATCACGATGCAGCGCGTTGGGACGTCTCGCAGACTGGCATACCACATCCCCAATAACCCCACTGGTCCTGCCCCAAACATGGGCAGGATGGGGCAGGCAGAAACAAATGCCTAGCATCTGCAGTTTAGCTTACCACTCGATCTGCCACCCACGACCTGGCCTGACCTTGACTGTCACCTTGCCGACCCGTAACCTGACGTCGCCTCACCTGTCACCTTGTTGACCCGTGACCTGACCTGACCTGACCTGATGCGGTCGATGACGCCGACGGTGAAGATGGCCATCAGGTGCCCTGACTCGAGGTGAACGCTGGACAGGCGCCTCATGTTTAAATAGTCGATCCAGCTGCACTCCTGTTCCCTGCGTGTCTCTGTAAAAAGGGGGCGTCAGCGGCTGAGGGGAAATGTTAGAGGTGTTCAAGGGCGTAGCCTGGTGTGTGCGGGAAGGGGGGGGGGAAGAGAGACACGGAGACCCTGGCCCACTCACCTGGCCAAAATGTTTATGCTTAATGCTTACTGATTTCTCAGGAATTCCACTCAAATTCGTTTGAGGTCTAAGAAAATCCTACATCGTCCCCTCTCCCCTGCAGAAAATTCTGACTACGTGTTAGGTGAGATCAACAGGAGTCTCCCGTGGAATGGATTTCACTTGGACAGTTCGGCCAATCGCCGACGTAAACATAATTTCAACTAACAAGTAATGTTGCCTGATGTCGGATCTTTTTAGTGCGTTAATATTAGATGAAGTCTTCAAAATGCAAGCATACAAATGGAAAGGTAGGCTGACTAGGTTAGTTACCTTAGGAGCAGTTACTACGCTAGATTAGCTTGGCGTTATCTTGTGGTGTTGGGTCGCGTTGGATAAGGCTGTATTACGTCATGTTAGGGATTAGCCTAAGTTAAGCTGGGTGAGGTTAGACTGGGTAAGCCAGGTGAGTGTCGTAGCCTTCTCAGTAAGTTATGCTGCGTGAGTTTGAACTGCGTGAGCCAGGTGAGTGCCGTGGACTGCTCGGCAAGTTATGCTGCGTGGGGTTGGAATGTGCGAGCCAGGTGAATGCTACAGTCTCCTCGGTAAGTTATGCTGCGTGGGGTTGGACTGTGTGAGCCAGGTGAGTGCCATAGTCTCTTGGATAAGTTATACTGTGTGAGGTGGGACCGTGTGAGCCAGGTGAATGCTACAGTCTCACAGTCTCTTCCGGTAAATTTTGCTGCGTGGTGTTGGACTGTGTGAGCCAGGTGAATGCTGCAGTCTCTTCGGTAAGCTGTGTTGCGTGGGGCTGAACTGCGTGAGCCAGGTGAATGCTACAGTCTCTTCGGTAAGTTGTGCTGCGTGAGATGGGATTAGGTGAGCCAGGTGAGTACCGTAGTCTCCTCGGTAAGCTGTGCTGCGTGCGATGGGACTAGGTGAGCCAGGTGAGTGCTACAGTCACCCCAACTGACGCGTCGCCACCTACCGAGCGGTCCGAGCTCCTGGAGCCGGCAGACACGGAGCAGCCCTATCCTGTAGCGGGCCACGTCGGTCGGCCTGTGAGCCAGTGAAGTCGTCACCAGCGGTTCTGTGGTGGTCACCCAGCGGTCTGTGGCCACGCACAGCGTGACGACGGCCAGCGTCACGGCGCCCACTGTGACCGACAGCCGTGACACGTGTTCGTGGTAGCACGAGACCAGGCAGCAGCCGCGGTACGTCGACATCGTGACGTCACTTGGAACGCTGCGGACGCAGGGAGACGGTGGGGTCACTGGGATGCTACGGGTGCAAATGCCACGGTGATGTCACTGGGAACGCTGCGGGCGCAGGGAGACGGTGGGGTCACTGGGATGCTACGAGTGCAAATGCCACGGTGACGTTTCTGGGAACGCTGCAGGTGCAGGGAGACGGTGGGGTCACTGGGATGCTGCGGGTGCAAATGCCACGGTGACGTTACTGGGAACGCTGCGGGTGCAGGTGGACGGTGGCGTTACTGGGATGCTGCGGGTGCAAATGCCACGGTGACGTTACTGGGGACGCTGCGGGTGCAGGGAGACGGTGGCGTTACTGTGATGCTGAGGGTGCAAATGAAATGGTGACGTCACTGGGACTGCTGTGGGTGTAGGTCGACGATGGCGTTGCTGGAATGCTGCGGATGCAAATGAGATGGTGACGTCACTGGTAGCGCAGCAGATGCAGGTGATATGATGACGTCAATCGGAAAAAAAATATTTGCGCAAAAGGGGTCCGGTAAATTTGCTCTGTTCACAGGGTCGCGATGACTGTCAGCAATCATGCAAATGTACGCACATAACTGCAGTCCAAAGAACCGCAAGCCCATTTCGATGTCTTATGTACCATCCCTCACACGAAACAAAGCCTGATAAGCTGTTAACAGTCACATTATGGAGAAATGGAGCATTTGCATCTGTAAGTGATTCAAATTTGGTCATTTACATCGTAGAACAGGGAACGCGACTTAGCCGCCCTTGCTTAGCTATTCCAGTTCTGGCAAAATTTGCTTCGTTGCTGAGCAAAACTTACAAGAGTAAAGTAGTTGTGAATGCTGGCAAAATTTCGATGAGTTGTGCAGGTCACGTGGAAAGACACTGCACACAATTCAACAATTCAAGGAAATGCCTAGCCAGAATTAGGCATTTTCAAATTCTGAATTCAAAATTCAGAGGCGTTTGCAGGAACTGTAATGGGGGAGTGAGGGTGGCGCCACAGCTCAAGATTTCTCACTAAGAACCCGGTCCAGCACGCCGTAGGTGCTGCGAAATTCTTTGCATGACATGAAACAGCAACGCCACTTCTTGCTGTGATTAAAGTTTCTTATGCAATTCAAATTTGAAATTATCAGGGAGAGGTAGGGGGAGGCACGTGATGCTACAGTCGCCTTCGTGCGTGTGCCCTTGCGCCAAACAATTAAATGCAGGCTTCTAAATAGGAGGTTTAGGAATGTGTATCTCAAAGATCCACAGATCACTAAGCCCGCCACGTTTCAAATAAACCTGAGATTTACTGTGATGCGTGAAAGGCCCTTGCTTTACCTTTTCATAGTTTTAGAGCATCCCTATGCCTTGGATCGCGAACCAGCTTCGCACGGGCAGCAAACATTCCGAGTCCGAGCCTCAAGGGCCGTGGACACCAAAGCTATGCCACAGGCTAAAAACTGGGGGAGGGGGGGGGGGGAGCATCCACGCAATTTTAGGTGTGTCCCTCCATGCAACGCCCTTTACCGGGTGAGTCAAAAATGACCTCACCACCGACCACATTTTAAGTCATAAAACTATCTGAATGCGTTCAAATGAGGGCAAGTAAAATTTCGGTTCATTCCATTAAGCCCTAAAATCAATACCGCAACAAACTCCAACGCTATTTGGCAGACAGTTCGCTCTATGGCCTATGGCATACAGCGCATGCCCTGATATATTATGTATATATACTATAGCATATGCCATAAGATATAATGGATGTAATAAAACTACCGAAAAAAATAAGCGCGTGGTCGGACGCTGCAGCCTCCAACAGCAGCGTGCGGTTACTGCTAGCATCTATGCATCGAGTGACATGCTGGGAACAGCTGCAGGGATGTGAGCCGCTACTTTCATTCATGAATGCATAACAGTGTTATTTCAGTGCTGGCCATGCTGGGCGGATAGGGTTATCGGTTCAGGTCCCAGATTACCCGAGAATTAAAGAGCAAATCTGGTCTTGGCGGACCGGGCAGTTTCAATGTTTCGCTTTTCACACAATGCAGAACCAGCGCATCGGAGAACCTTTAGTGTGAGTATCTCGCAGCACGGCTCGTAAGTCCTGAAGGGAAATTGTCCTCGGGAGCTCATCTACGTACGATGACGTCAAGAATGAACAAGGATTTGCTGATAGTACGCTCCAGCTTTGCGTCCACGAAACACCCTGTAAATTTGGTGGAGTGAGCTTACAGTCATCCCACGAGGATGATATTGGACGAAGAAAGAGTGAGGGTCTGTGTGCTATGACTGATAAGTTGATACTTCAAAGATGATGTACACATTAGCGGGACTGAGATAGATCATTTACAAATTAAATTATGCCATGTCCGAAGCTCTGCGCGAAGTCAGGCCATACTTTTTGAACGCCTAAAACGTTTTTCCAAGTAGCCAAGGTTTTCTGAACGCATGCGCATCGCACTGTTTCCCAGCGACAATCATTTGTAGATTCGGCCGATTATCTTAAGCTACTAGAGCAGCTAGAGACGCTAATCAAACAGCAAGACATAAACAATTTAAATTTATACATAAAGCGCAGCGAAGCTAGCGTACAAACGCTTGCATGTTCCTAACACAGCTAAAATATTTCACAAGGTTTTCACATTTAAACAGTTGCTGGACTCACGCTGGAAGGCCTGCGTGTTACATTGGCACACGAAGCACAGGTCGACGCAACACAACACAGCACCACACAGCAGAGCTGATAGGTTCTGGTCTTTAACTGGTATTCCAATACACTGCTGTTCACTTGTTTTGGAACCATTTTGGCGACGCGGGTGGCCGTAACTGCGTAACATCATGATGCCCAGGAAATTCATGGATTAACTGAACGTGTTTTCAGTCTGCCAACTGCACTGTCCGTGCCCAATGAGCTGATTTTCAGCAAGGAGCAATAAGGCAACAGCGAATGCTAGGCATTTTCCGCTCATCTTCTTGTATAAATTCAACGTTACACAACTATCTCTGATGAAAAAGTGCAAACACCACCGAAATCAAGCTCACGTGTGATTTGAAGTTAATTCTCACCGATCGATTACCAAGAAAGAAAGGTGGAATGCGTAATCTCGAACTTGCTGCTCTGGCGCGACTTAACAGTGTCAGGTTGGTGACGTTTGGACGTAGCTGCCTTATGATGATACTTCGAACCCCAAATGTCAAAGTCGTGCCCTTGCTATGATTTGTCGTTTTTCATAATTCGCGAACGGAAAAGCAGGGTCAATACAACTCCCTCTAACGTTTCCTGACTAAGAATGATAGAAACTCGCGGCAGGAGACCAGTCGATTACTTTGAAAAAAAAACACTTGCGATTGGGAATGGTCGTGATGCTGTTCGTTCAATAAATGACCTCATTACACCAGATGAAAGGTAGATTTCGCCTGAAAATCGGGCTATTTCAGCTTGACATACTAATGCTTACAAAATCATGTTAAGGAACATCGTGAGACACACATGCGTGTTTGGTGTTTGGTTTTGCACACATATTATGTGGTTTTGTAGCTGTGGTTTATCGGCATGACCTTTATGAGTTATTGGTGCCAGCCAGAACTTTACAAGTTGTGATTTCGATTTGTTTCCGCATATGTCACGTCATGTGCATATATATATATATATATATATATATATATATATATATATATATATATATATATTTCATACGTATGCTTGTAGCCACACCTGGACGTCTGCGGGCCTTATGTTCAGTTCCAAAAGTTTGTGGTATCTGTTCCCCGTACGTGATACCATCCCGTGGCAGACCCACTGTATTTCAGTAAAGCCGCTCACCAATGATAAGTCGAAACATTTGCAAATCCGGGAAACACAACTTGTTCTTCAGAGGACAATGAAAGGCTTTTGAAAAAAATTAGGCAGGCTCGAGGCAAATCTAGACAACATCTACATGGACGATGTCATTGATTGGCAATGACATCAATTGATGTCACTAGTTCAAAATGGTTTTAAAAGCCTTACGACGTGATCCACATTTTCAAATAAAGTTGATCCCAACACCGTGCACAGTGACTACAGTGCGACCTTCCCTGCCAATGTACGGGCTCCCCTGCTGATCGCTCGTAGAAGCCTATTGATGCCGGCTGAAAAACTACGCTTCATTCTCACAACGGCGACGTGGGGGTTCCACCCCGCCTCAGGCGCGCGCGCGCGCGTGCCGAGACAGACTGCTCCGCAGCGCCTGCGTGTACTACGGCACAGCATCGCGCCCAGCGGCTGGTCGAAGCGCGCTCTGGACGGATTATTCGCGGGCAGCTCTCGGTGCGGGCACCGGACGCCACGCGCTGAGCATCGTAACGTTCGGCTCCCAGCCCCGCAGCACTGAGATCTGCGGTAGTTTTTGGACAAGAAAATATACAATATTTTGGAATGTAATGCATCACAATTTGCTAAACTGGCATGAACCAGTGAAGAAAGATAATGAGCTTTTCAACTGCACTCAGGTTGTCTTATGCCTTGAGCACATGTTCTGAATGCAAGGCTGAAGAGCCACAACATCTAACAAAATAAATAAGTCTGTCTTGGCTCCTTCCCACAAACCCCGGTCTCAGCTCAGCACATGTGTAAATACACAACAATTTCGGCTTTGCAGGCAGCGCAACTGACGGACATGACAATGGAAAAGAGATGCGTGAGGTAAACAAGTCATTACAAGGTCAGTTAAATCTCAGGTTCCAGGAAAATGGTTATTTCTGAGTATTACTATCACAGAACAAAATGTGAAAATAGAGAGCGTCGTTTAGAACTTGCATGCCACGCCCTGAATGAAAATGTACGAAATTTGTATATTCCTCCGTTCATGGCAAAATAGAGTGCGACGGCTTTAGGAACACACTATGCATGCGCATAACGCATGGCAGACCACTTAAATATCAAACCTGACTGGCTGTTCTAGCCCCATTCTGTCATCTATCCCCAGGAACATAGCACACTGTACAAAATATTTCAGTGAGCCTCTTTTGAAACAGGTCTTACTACGCGCGCGCAAACCATCACAGGAACGCCGAGTTTTGTGTTGATGCATCTCAATCTGGAATGCTAAAAAGGTGAGCCGCATCAAGCCATATCTTCTTCGACCAAATATTGTAGCTCAGTGTATCCATAATCCTATGATGCCACGTCCGACTTCAGCCGAACGCATGTTGCAAGTGTGTGCTTGGCAGCCCCTGCCCGGTGAGCGTGCAGCGCACCTTGACCTGAGTAGTTAATGATTACCACCCTTTTGCTGCCATAGCATTTACTATTTCCAAAAGGCGATGTAAAAGTTCATTTGAGATGAATTTTAATGCCTGTTGCCTTACTGTATTAATAATTTGCATTTTCATTAGAAAAAACTCCGCAACGCAAAACCTGATGTCTGTAAAACATGCTACTTCCAATTCTGCGCACACGCACTTTTTCGCATCTAGCTAATGAATTCGGCAAGCTGTTATTGGTATGCACAATTATTCGCATCGCACTTCTTCGAACACGCACTTCTTTGCAAAGCATGTTTTCACGCATCCAGCTCTTCGCATCGCGTTTATTTGTAAATGCCATTGCATGTATATATTTTCTAAGGGTTCAGTAATTCACTTTTCTTATTGGGTTTATCAAAACTGTAACTGTCGGCTGGGTTCAAAGTGTGTGTGGTCGGAGTGGGCCTAAGTTAGCGCGTGAGTGATGTAATGCGAAGAAATTCGGCAGGAAAAATCGCGCATTGACTACGTCGAAGTAGCGGCAGCTCTAGTCCAACAATGCACGTGAGGTGGAAACTGTTTACCTTCGGCGCCTCTGCTGGAACGCTGCGCTCGTCCATTAGCAGATCGCTTTCTGAACTCGGCACTTGGCGCCAGACGCGGCAGATGTGGAACGGAGCACGGGAGCTCAGATGCCTGCGCGGCAGCTCGCGTGGACGCAGTGACGGGGGGTGATAGGCTGGGTGGACAGAGGACTCTACAGCTGAAGAGATCAACCGGCGTGGACGCACTGACGGCGAGGGATAGGCTGGGTGGACAGAGGATTCCACAGCCGGAAAGGACTGACTGAGGACTGAGATGCCGTGAACGTAACTCTGGGCAGAGCGATGGTGAACGAGAGGCCGCCAAAGTATTTTTAATGGAAACGAGCACACATCTCGTGATCTGGTAGGTTTGTTTCCCGCAGTCTCTGGGCCAGTGGCGTGCGAACGGATCTAGTCCCCAAAAATCATCTCTAGAGGCTGTACGCTCGTCCTCACCTCCAAACAGCTTCAGTTATAATTTCAGTGTCATAGATCCGTATCAGCGAAAGTCCGTGGCTGAATAGTTCCCTTATGTTGCTTGCAGGCAATCAATTGATTCTTCACCCAGTCAGCAAACTTGTTCACCTCCCCGCTCAAAACGGTCGCCACTCTTTAACACGCGAGCTCCGACAACAGAGCAGAGGCCCCACCGAACAACGCCTCCCTCCCAGCGCCGGCCCACTCTCACCTGACCTCCTCAGGAGCGCGATCCTCCCGCGCTCTCACCGCACCTCCGCCGCGCGTGGCACTCTCCGCCGCCAGGCAGCCGCCGTGTGCCGCAGCAGCGGCCGGCGCAACAGCTGAGTGGCGTGGGGCTCAGCAGGCGGCGGCGGGATAACCGCATCAGAGACCGCGCCGCCGCCGCTGCGCCCCGCCGCCACGCAGGATTCGATCGAGCGCGACCGAGGCGCCCCTGCCGGCCGGGACCGGAAACAGCAGGCGTCTTGTCGGGTGGGGTGAGTGTTCGGGCGGCGCCCGGGCGAAGGCTGAGAGATGAAAGCTGAAGTGGGGGATGGGGTTTTATGGTCGCCGGAAAAGGTGGCGGCAGGTCCCTGTTGGATTTGTGGCGATGACAATGGTACCTGGTCGACTTCGTTTATGATGCTCCTCCTGCAATTTTTAGTAGCTGACTTTGAAAGCTACCCCGTGGGTTGCTTGTACTTTTCGTTGTGGGCTCACATCTGAAGCATTTCGTAAATTTTCCGAGCTCCGGTCAAGAGAAGGTCAGGGCTTGCATTTCAGGGCTGCAAAAAGGCAAGCAGCACCAACAACAACTGCGACTACATCATCATAGTGTGCCGGCGGCGATTCCAGGATTTCATCAAGAAGGGGGGGGGGGGACGAGGCACGCAATATTGTGCCGCTCCCCTTGAGTCCAGCCTCCCCCCCCCCCCCCCAATAAGACATTTTTGCACTCCGACCAATAGATTGTAAGTTTCTTAGCATGCCATTTGTTAAATAGGACCCATCTCACTGTGCGCAGCACCAGAAAGATAGGCGTGGTGCGTATGCAGTTACATGGAGCTTATTTACTTTCCCCAGATCGTGATGACTCCTGTCATTCTGATTCTGATCCTGTCATTTTGAGGCTTGAGCGATCATAGGTGCCGCGGCAGGGCCTCTGAGCAAAGGGTATTACCAAGACCGGTGTGCGTGAATTAATGTCCCTGCGCAATTAAAAGTGCTTGGGCAGGTTAATAGGAAGGGCCCCGATATGACTGAAGGGTATTCCGCAAAGAGATCAAGGGAAAATAGCCCTAAATCAATGTAGAAGGTGCCTCAGCATCGAGTGGCTCTGTACCTTACCTTACATGAGCCCCAGCAACAGCACACAGGCCTCCTGGCAAGTGGAATAACCCCAAGACTAATACGAAGGGCCCCTGAACAGCTGAGCGTGCCTCGGCATATGGGGTCTTGGCGATAGTGTATGAAGCCTTTCGGACGAATGGGAAGAATCCGTGGGGGATCGCTGATCCACCAGCAGTGTGCAGGCATGTTATCACATAATGTCCCAACAGCGATCGGACTGACCCGGCAAGTGATGAAATAGGGTACTGGCAGCAGCGTGACGCCTCTAGAAAGCGTAGTGAGCCTCAATATATCCCCATTCGCCACCCTCTCAATCAGCAAAGAATTAGCTTTGCCTGGTCACGGGCTCTTCACTTTCACTTACAACTGTCTTTGGTCACCTGAAAACCCAATGACGTCCAATTTTGTTGTATTTTGCGTTAAAAACTACGTCCGTTCAGCCGGTCATGAGCCCCTTGGGAGCGTATGGGTCCCCTTGGAGATTGAGGGGGCATGTTTCCATATCCTTCCCAGCTGGATCCACCACTGGCCCGAACAGTTTGATAGACGGGACTCCGACAAGAAAATAGCGCCATTCATTCAAGTAAGAAGTACCCAAGACACAATATGGAGAGCCCAGGAATGATCGAGTGTGCACGAGCAGGTTAACAGATGGGGCCCCGGACAAGCGCGTAGGGCCCTCCTTTAAAATAAAAGATACTCACAACACAATGTAGAGAGCTCCCGAACAATCGAGTAAACCAGAACAGGTTAACAGAACGGGCCCCTGACAAAAGTGTAACGCCCTTCATTCAAATGAGAAATACGGGCAACTCCATGTGGGGCCCCCCGACCAATCAAGTGCACCCGAGCAGGCTAACGGATAGGGTCCCCGGCAAGAGCGTAGGGTCCTCCATTAAAATAGGAAGTACACAAGACCTTATGTAGAGGGCTCCCAAACGATTGAATGCGCCCGAGCAGGTTAACATACATGGCCCCCGACAAAGGCAAAGGGCCCCGCATTCAAATACCAAAACCCAATGCGCAGGACCCCCGATCAATCCAGTGTGCCAGCGAAGGTTAACTTGAAAGGCCCCTATCGACCCAGTGCGCCAAGCACTAAAAGTGTACCCAAGCAGGTTAACAGATGGGCCTTCAACAAATAGGGTAAGTGAGCCTTCAACAAATACGCAAACAGCAAAGAATTGGAAGGGCCCTGGATCTATGTAGAGGGCTCATGGGTATACGGTGAGTGTGTCGGTAGGTTAACGGAGACCAGTGTGAATAGCCCCTGAACAAATGAGAATGTCCCGGCAGGTAAACGTACGGGGGCCTCGGCTATAGCGTATGGAGCCTTTCGGGCTAACGGAAAGAATCATTAGACGGCTCCTGCTTGGCAGGAGTGTCCCAGCACGCCAGCAGGAAGGGACCAGCAACAGCGCAGGGCCCTTCGAGCAAGTGCAAAGAAATCAGAAGTGGACATATGGGGACCCTGCAACAGCGTAAAGCTTTGGGACGATATAATGAGCCTTAAAACCTCCCAATCACCACCCTCTCAGTCTGTCAAGAGAAAAATTGTGTACTCGTTTACCCTTCACTTTTGCTTGCGACTGTATATGGTTGCCTGGAGCCCAAAGACGTCCAATCTTGTTGCATTTGTGTAAAAAATCTGGCTTTGTTCGGCCGGCTATGGGGCTCTTACTGGCCCGAGGGGGAGAGCATGGTCCCGTGCTCATCCCTTTGGATCCGCTGCTGCGGGGTGCTGAATTAGTCATAACTTGTTCGCTCGTTTGTGTAGGCGCTCTGGACTCGCGTACCAAAACGGTGCACCCTGGAGCGCTTTAAGGCTTGGTTCTTATGCCGGTTGAATGTCAACTTCTGATATAAACATTGCCTTAATGACAGCCGCTGATACAAACATTGCCATAATCACAACCTGTGATATAAAGATTATCATGATGACAACTTCCGATGCAAAAATTGCCACAATAACAACCTATGATTGTCATTTTTGACAAGCTGTTTCAACGCCGAGTGCAGATGTTGCTCTGTAATTGTTGCGCAATATTCTAAGAACACCAGCTAAGATATCTTGAGTAAAATACTGCAGACATCTTGGTAAACAGTCTGCTCTGTTTCTAGTTCCCGAACCAAGAATGCATGAACCCCCTCCCGCAATTTCACCGAGTAAAAACATGTTTACTTGCCGGCCCGATTCCAAGCGGCTTTCTGCAGCATTATGTCTGTGCCCGGCGGCAGTCACGTGACTTGGACAGCGGTGCGCCGGTCAGAGGTCAGCGCTGACCAGGCTCGGGGGCAGCCACGCGAGTACGCCGCACTCAAACCCGTGTGTCGCGCTATGCTGTTATCACTTAGTAGCCAAACATGATGTGGCGTAGCAGTGCAATGTCGGGGAGCAGCTTCAGTCATCACAATTTTGGAATATTACGTAGATGCGCATGACAGTCAAATTTTTTTCTTGGCTATTATCATAAGCTCCTTATGAGGTCATTTATAGGCAAGCAAGTCCTCCCCTCTCAAACCGATGGCGACTTAATCAGAAATCGCCAGCTAAAGCATCGAGTTGATCGGTAAATCTGTCACGCACCCGGATAATGAAGATCATGGGCATTAGTTTGCATTCCTTCAGATTCAGTGCTGTCACGAAGAAGATCAGGCAGGACGTCGAGTCTAAAAGCGACCGCTTTGGCGGTGGCTTTAATGCGGGCCACAGATGGAGAACACCTTGGGTGAATCACAGCCGCTGCCCGAGGGGTGGGGCCGAATCCAGCATTGCAGGTAGAGAAGGGGAGGGGACAGACCGTGAGAGACCAGGACTCTCACAAGAGAACAGTAATGGACGCTCTAGTGTTAACCGGTGTGTTTTGTTCTTGCGTAAACCAATTATGGCTCGATCTGGTATAAATAAAATGTTGAGCCACGTAACCAAGTTACTTCAAATACGTAGCCCTTGCGTAAAAAACCGTCACAAGCTAGATATAATCTAAGCAGATGAGTTAGGAATAATGTCCTCAGCCCCTCAAATCAGCACTATTTAAGGGATTAGCTTTAACGTTTTTTGGGGGCGCCAGATTAGCAGCAAGCGGTACATAATTTACGCGGCTTGGATGCTCAAACTGACGACTGGTCCTCACCGAGAAGCGTGACTCGCAAAACGCTACTGCACGTCCGTGAGTTATATATGCAGCCGCTTGCCTAGCACCTAAAAATAAGCCAGTCATAAGGAGTTAGGACTGTTTTGTACTTAAGTCATTGGTGAAAAACAGAGAAAAGCAAGAGCAATTTTGGCGAGTTGCTACATATCTCATGATCAACGCTACCATCTGTTATAACAAACCCCGATACCGTAGATCTTGCTCTTGACGTGTCATAAATTCGCGCCGAAATAACTCTTTCATGCTTGCGAAAGTACTAAAACACGCAGCAAGGCTGGTCGACACAGTCACCTGGCTATCCGTGGAGCTAAAAAGACAAATGCGCGTTTAACAAGCTGAATCAGCTGCCCGTACCTGGGCAAGAAAATATCATTCTTGGACGATTTACGTGTCGCGTTCTACACATGCGGAGCATGCATTGGACTGGCAAGGATCTGTCAAACACATTTAAAGCTCTGTATCACTTCATTGCCTGGATATTCCGTGACATTTGTCAAATACAAGGAACAGATAACCCAATGATTACACTGGTGTCATTTCACTAGCGTACATTTCACTAGGTTTACCAAAAATAAATTGACTATTTAGCACTTGAAAGGGCACATATCCGCTTCTTTGCCAATTGGCTTTGCATTTTACCTAATACGCAGTTTCGCATTTAACCATTTGATGTGTCAAAAACGCCACACACAAAATACTTAAAGCAATTTTTCAACTCGGTGTTCTGTAAAACATACAGTTCTTTTTTTGGAACCAAATACCAATAACTGGTGGACGTCATTCTCGAACTTTCACTATCTCATCAAATCTTTCACTTTGTCCTCTTCTCTTTTGCTTTCGTTATCAAACCGACCGCTGAGATGCTTGACAATGCCAACGCAGCTAGTGCCCATTTACCCTCATTCTCCGCTGAAAAGCACATGCCAGCAATAACTTAAGCTACGAATCTTTCGTTATCATCCGTAATGGGTGTGCACCGTAGTATTCTTTTGAAACAGGTTTTAATTGGGCAGCACCACAAGACTACATCTTACAAGGCGAACTCTGTCCCAACTCGATCCATGTCGCTCTCCGATGATCCGCCCCGCAGCTGCGGAGACAAAAACACCGCGACCAATGCGCAGGTACGTTATTGTGCGGGCTTCACTTGAAATCTATCGACGCGAACTCAGCGTGATCACACTAGCGTGAGACTCTCAGGGGCAGACAGAGCGCGCGCAGTGGAAACACAACACCCTCCTCCAGCCAGCACGGATCACACGGTTTAGCGGCCTCCGGCCGCCCAGGGCATCCCAGACTGCAGCCTCTTCCTGTTACACGTCCACGGTCCGGTCAGTTTTCTCGATGCACCAATCTGACCTCATGATGCACAAATCTGGCTTCATGATGCGGCAGCTCTCCCCACGATGCACATGCCTGTCCTAACGATGCACATGCCTACCCTAACGATGCACCGCACCGTCCTCACGGTGCAGCGATCACGCGTCCTCACAAGGACCCAGTCAGCCGCGTCGATCCGACCCAGACCGCCACTAGCGCCACCACCAGCAAGCCCCGCGCAACCGCCGCCAGGGGGCCGGTGGCGTTACGCAGGTTGCCGGAGCGCGCGCCCGACCACAGCACCTCCGTGTCGATGTGGTCGTCCACGTTTTCGAGACAGCACTGTGCCAGCGAGCAGCCGAGCCAGCGCGGCGCCACCAGGTCTGGCGCGTACGAGCGGACCTGGGCGCGGGGTGAGTCACAACGCCAGTAGTGTCGACCCTGCACGAAGAACGTCTGACCTGGGGGCGGGGGCGGGCGTGACTTCGGAGGCTGGGTTGCGAGGCAGGTGTGTGGGGCTGGGTGGAGGTGTAGTTGTCGTTGGGTGCAAGGGTTGCTTCGAAAATTTTGGATAGCCTCTCCAGAAATAGCTAGGGAAATGTGACATTATTGTCAAGGCCTGATGAATCATCGTGCCAGTTTCTCTTAATACGTAATAAACAAATTATAATCGCCCTTTAATGTCACTATTAGTTGCCGTATTTTAGATGGACAAATTGGTGAAGAGTTGGTGACACAGAGCAGAACAAAAACACACCGTCGGCGTCGGTGAAGGCTGCGTCCAGCTTCCTCGGCAGCCCCCTGCACAGACGGCTGATGGGCAGTGGAGAGTCGGCCTCCACCGTCTCGGTCAGCTCATTAAACCTGAGGCGCGCCACAACCCGTCAAACTCAACCGGTACGACACATGTAAAGGTGAGCTCAAGCTGTGCGCGGCGATCTTGTCGCCTGGCTATGAGGACGCATCTATCCTCTCCACTTAAGCAGTGAAGACGCGTCTTTCCCTCTCGATCTCAGGGTTCGGCGGTCTACGTGCTCAAACTGGATTCCGCATCGCTCACTCGTGCATGCGAGCCCTTTCCAACCGCGGTCACACAACGACTAAAAGGCAGCGCTAGTCGTGGACCCGCGGGAACCAAGGCACATCTCCAATTCTGACCTCCAGTACTGGCCGCCCGTGATGAGGTAGGTGCCCTGGGTGTGTCCGCTGACGAACGCGGCGTCCACCGACGGCGTCTCCTCAGGAAGACCCAGGTCAGACAGGGGCCGGGGGTAGCCCGTCAGGGCGTGGCGGTCCCAGAACACCCAGAAGTACCGACCTGCCGGTTGAGGTCAGGTCAGGTCAGGTCAGGTCAGACAGTGGCTACGGGCGTCCCAGTACATACGGAAACAAGCGCCTGCCGGGAGGGGTCAGGGATCATGGGTCAGACCAGATCGGGTCAGGTCATAAAGGGTCCGCGCATAGGCTGGAAGTGTCTGTCCCAGAACACTTATGAACAAAGGTCTTCCACAGCTAGGTGTGCCTGCGGGGCATTGGTTACACCGCCCGCCGTTAGCACGTGGCAACCACGCTCCAGGAGGGAGTGGGTGAATTTGACGCCTTAAATAGTGACTAATGTATTCACTATTTAGCTCCAGGTCCACCAGCCTGCTTTAGCTTGGTAGCATCAAAATCTGGAAATAGACCTGTCTCTGTGATAGCTTCGACACTGTCACAACGTTAAAGTAACGATTGTCTTATCTTAGCTTTATGTTTCTTAAGGATCATGTGATAAGTATGATATTAAGTATAATAAGTATTAAGATAAGTATAAGGGATGCTACGGTTTGCTAATGAAATCACAGGTTGGTTATACAGTCTGGTGATCTCGCATACCGCCACACATAGCACACTAGCACACGATCTACGTGGCCGCACATAGCACACTAGCACACGATCTACATAATCGCGCGGTCGACGTGCCCCCGGGCCCAGCAACCCGGCCGGGACGGACGCCACGTACCGCAGAAGAAGACGACACTGCCGTCGGGACGCTCGTACACGGCGTCGACGGAGGCCCGGGCGGGCAGGCCGCCCCAGAAAGTGTCCACCTCCACCGGCTCCGGCGTCATCAGGTGGCCGCGCACGTCCCGCCGCCAGAAGTACTGCCGGGCGACGCGGCAGGCGCGCACTACCGTCAGAGCACTTCGCAGCCATGACATTTTTTAAGACCTAAAACCGCCTTGTTTTTAGCTTGACGCCGCCCGCGAACTTGTTCAGGTTTTCGTGGCAGGCTGGTTGAAGGTCACACAGGCATGCATGGCGCCGTCGAAACGTCCCGCGAATACGGCCACCTCGGGGGCAATGTAGTGCTCGAGGTGGAGACGGACAGGATGAGGGAATTATTCGTATCCGGTCATCCGTTATCCCTTATCATCAGCATCCGTTACCGTACGTCAGCACGGCTCACGACATTGGCGGACGTAGGACGGAGAGTCCCGTGACCGCCAACTCGCTATCAGTCTGGTAACGGCTCTGATCTTATAGGGACGTTTCGTAGTGTAACCAAACGATGACGTATAGAGGAGCATTTTAACCAAATGGTAAGTAGAAGAACATACTCAAAATCCTCAAATGTAAAACATTCCCTCTGAGATAAGGACACCAGCAGGAGACACCCGGTCGAGGCCATACGCTTAGCCGGTCGGCTTCACACGATTAAACCTACGGACTGAGTTATAGGTATATTGTCTTAGTCTAATGTTCATAGGATACATTACTAATGAATGGTTTGTTCTTGCTTCTGCCCATTTTTGCTCCTGTGCTACTTTTAAGTTTACGTGAGACGTTCAACCAGAGGAGTGCTGCCCCGGGACAAGACAACACGTTGTTAGGTAGCCTCCGCAAGGATTCGTTTTCGAAATGCTTGGGCAAATCGAAGACGGAATGGCTGTGAGCGCTTTAGACCAAATGTACCTAAATATTTGTCCTCAGATATTGGTGACATCTGTGTGAGCTTCGGGCGTGTTCCCCTCATCATCGTTTAATATTGCACACGTTGTTGTTTTTCAGAACAGACCACTTTCTTTAGAGCCCCGACCACTATGTGCTTGAACAACTGTAAGAAGACAATGCATGACACAGCTACGCGTTTTTAGGCCACCAAATCACGTCTTCCAATCGTGCTATCCGGCGTGAGGGTTCGCCCTTGACTCCGTGCACTTACGTGATCCTTGAAAAAGAACAGCTCGCCTCTGATCCTTGCAACTGCGTCGAACGTGGTCCTGCATGTATCAGGAGCACCGTGCAGCCCTGAAGCATGAGCTTAAAAAGCGAGCTGGTGCTGCGGCTGTGCTGCGGCTGCACGCACCGTGTGAGCCGGCCAGGGCACCGGGTGCTGACGTGGCCCGCGGCTTACAGGCAGTAACCCTGCTGCAGAGCTGCATTGACGAAACAGACCGCTCGGTTTTCAAATCCATTGTCCGAGATGGGTAGTGTCATTTCGTTATGTATGTTGGTGTACAAGTACACAAATATTCACAGCATCTTCCAACAAACACACGCCACGTTTGCATGTACTCCAATGGTAGCTCAATATTTCCTTTTGCCTAAGGATAAGGAGGCTTTACAGAGTATCCTGGATTTTGCCTTCCAATTGGACGCGGGAATTGAATAGCCTTCGATATTCGTCGTCAGTCATCAGCCGATATTCGCGCCACCCGTTCCACACTTCACCATTCTCCCATATTGACACGCCGTCCCTGAATGACTCCCGGATCTGCGCTGATCTCACGGGTCTCACTCGGGGGGGAGGGGGGGGGGGCAGACAGGGAGGGGCAGCCCGCTCGCTGGAGCGCCCATGGCGCGGCGGCACCTGTGCCGGCGCGTCCAACTCGCTATCAGGTTTCCGCCGATTGAATCATGGCGGGTGGCTACGATATCAGACACGAACGCGTCGGTCGCCTTCGAGAGGAGCCGCGTCCGTTGGAGGACCAGCCCGATGGAATTCGGGATCGACTACGGCCATTGTCGGCGGCGAAGATACTCAATCGTGGATCTACAAATCATGAGAAACAGACGGCCCTTCGTCACGCATCTGAACTAAACGAACGACAGTGCACCTGTACAGTGAGCGCAACATACGTATATTCAGTGCATCTGAACACAATCGAGTTCTGCACCTCACATGATGACCGAACACAACACGGACATTCGATACACATGACCACAGCCATATCCCCTCACGGCTCAAACGTAGTATGACTCCCCAGTGCATAGCTGAGCGCATATCTCATGGCTCTCTGAACATAACTCTCCTGCGCACTCGAAGCGCATATCCCTCCAGTGCTAGTGAAGACAACGCACAATTACTCGCGTTTGGGTATTGAGCCCAATAGCGACAGTCACCAAGGAACGAACAGACCGACAGCGTCAAACAAACCATCAACGCCACCCACCTCGGACGACAGACAGTTTAAAACCACGAGCCGCTCGCCTCCCCACAACGATCTCAGCCACCAGACTCCAGCGCAACTACCGACCTGAGACGAGCAGCGTCAGCAGCAGGACCGCCGCGGCGCCAGGCGCCCCCCTCATGGCGTGCTCCGGCCGTCACCCCCGCGAGCGCGGAGCACCTGTGCTCAGTCAGCGGCGCGCCGCTCGTCAGTGCTCCGCCGCTCGTCAGTGCTCGCCGACCGAGGCACGCGCACCGGCGCCAGGGCAAACAAACATCTGGCGGCGGTGTTTTGGGCCGGGGCACTGGTCCGGTGGCGGTGGTGACGGAGCTCGCGCTGAATCAGGTGTCCGGCCGCGCCCCTGGCGGCCGGCGGCGCTGATAGGACGCCCGATAGGCACGCGGCGGCGCGTGGCGCCGGGGGTGCGCCACGTCGGCTCGAGAGGCCTGTCAAGCTGGTGACACCAAAACATCTGAGGCGACGTTTGCGACGATAGTTTTCATGTTTGGATTCTGAAAAGAAAATTATACTGGAAGAGTTGCCACCCCTTCCAAAAGAAAAACATAAATGTGCGACCTTTGAAATCCGTGACATGAGCTTGAATCCAGGTTGAGGGCTGA